CTGGTAGCCCACGCCTGTGAGTGTCGTTCCCTGTCGCACCAGACTCTTCTCTGGCACCACCGCCTGGGCCACCCCTCCTTGCCACGCCTCCGTGGCATGCACCGTCGCCACCTTGTGTCTGGTCTTCCCAGGTCCCTCCCTCCCCTCCCTGCCTCGCCTGCGCCGCCTTGCCTTCCTTGCGTCGAGGGGCGGCAGCGCGCCGCTCCTCACTCCTCCTCGTTCCCCCCGACAGAGGCTCCTCTGCAGACCCTCCACCTGGACGTGTGGGGCCCAGCCCGCGTTCGTGGCCAGGGCGGTGAGCGGTACTTCCTGCTGGTCGTCGACGACTACTCGCGTTACACCACGGTCTTCCCCTTGCGCACCAAGGGTGAGGTCCCTGCTGTTCTGATCCCTTGGATCCGCACAGTTCGTCTCCAGCTCCGCCGCCGTTTCCGGACGGATCTTCCTGTCCTGCGTCTGCACTCTGACAGAGGTGGTGAGTTTTCCTCCGATCTCTTGAGGACCTTCTGTCAGGCGGAGGGCATCGAGCAGACCTTCACGCTTCCGGACTCCCCACAGCAGAATGGGGTTGCTGAGCGCCGCATTGGCCTGGTCATGGAGGTCGCTCGTACCTCCTTGGTCCACGCGGCGGCTCCCCATTTTCTGTGGCCGTTTGCTGTCCGGTACGCCGCGCATCAGCTCAACCTCTGGCCCCGTGTCTCCTTGCCGGAGACCTCGCCCACACTGCGTTGGACGGGGGAGGTTGGCGATGCGTCGCGCTTCCGGGTGTGGGGTGCTCGTGCCCTTGTCCGCGATACGTCCGCGGACAAGCTCTCCTCCCGCACCCTTCCCTGTGTCTTCCTTGGCTTTGTCCCTGACGCGCCGGGCTGGCAGTTTTACCACCCCACCTCGCGCCGGGTCTTCGCCTCTCAGGATGTCACCTTTGACGAGTCGGTCCCTTTTTACCGTCTCTTCCCCTACCGCACTGCCCCCCTCCCTCCCCCGCCACTTTTCCTTGCTCCTGGTCCCCCTCCGGTAGACCCCCTTCCCCCTCAGGGTCCTGCTCCTTCAGGTGTCTCTCAGGTAGACCCTCCTCCCGTCGCTGAGCCTGTCGAGGTCACAGGTGACTCAGGTGCTGCTGCAGGTGGTGCTGCTGGGAGTGCTGAGCCTGGGGGTGCTGAGCCTGCGGGTGCTGGGCCTGGGAGTGCTGGGACTGCGGGTACTGGAGCTGGGGGTGCTGAGCCTGGGGGTGCTACGACTGGGGGTGCTGAGCCTGCGTGTACGGAGTCTGGGGGTGCTGAGCCTGGGGGTACTGCGCCTGAGGGTACGGAGTCTGGGGGTGCTGCTGCTGAGCCTACGGAGCCTGGGGTTGCTGCGTCTGGGGGTGCTCTTCCTGGCGGTACTGGAGCTGCTGGAGCTGACGACGCTGGAGCTGACGGTTCTGGACACGGTGGTCCTGCTGGTTCTGGAGGTGCTGGCGAGGGGAGGTCTGCCGCTGCTGGGGCCTCTGGTGCTGACGTCGCCGACTCTGGGGGTGCTGCGGCGGAGGGTGCTGGTCCAGGTGCTTCTGGTGCTCCGGGTGCTGGAGGTGCTGGCGGAGCTCCGCCGTCGCGCCTGTTCTTCGCTCCTCCGTCGCCGTCGGCTTTGCCGCCGCCTGACACGGTGCTTCGCCAGGTTCTTTCCCTCCCGTCTTCCACTGGCCTTCCCCTTCAGCCTGGCTCCCCCCTCCCTGCTCCTGTGCCTTATACTGCACAGCCGGACTCGCTTACGGAGCGTCGTGAGCCTGCGTCTCGTCCTGCCTCGCCTGTTCACGTTGCTCGCGCTGCTCGCACTGCGCGCACTGGTCCCACTGGTCGTCGTGTCGCGCGTCCGCGTCCTCCTCCTGTTCCTGGCACGCATATTATGGCCCTTCGTCCTTCCACTGGTCCACAGCGTGTCCCCCTACCGTCTCCTCCTGCGTCTTCTCTTCCTGACGTTCCCGACCCTGAGTCTGACAGTGTTCGTGCTGCCCACCCTACTGTTACGCGTCTTCTCGCCACTGTTGTCACTGACCCGTCGTTTGAGTCTGCTGCTGCGTCTGCCCTGGTCGCTGAGCTTGTCGACTTTGCTGCTGCCTGTCGTCTAGACTACGCCGCCAGTCTTGTTGCTGGGTCTGAGTCTGTCTGTCCTCCGTCCGTCGGGGGTGAGTGTGCTCTTGGCACGGACGTCCTTGAGGACAGGCAGGAGGACTTTGACTCTCTTGCGGCTGCTGTACCTCATCTCGTGGCCTGGTTGCTTGCCCCTGAGGGAGACCCGGATGCACTAGACATCCCCACTCCGCGCTCTTACGCAGAGGCGATCTCGGGTCCCTACTCCTCTCAGTGGCAGACAGCCATGGACGCAGAGATGGCATCCTGGAAGTCCACAGGCACCTACGTCGACGAGGTTCCCCCTCCTGGGGCGAACATCGTCGATGGCATGTGGATTTTCAGGGTGAAGCGGCCGCCAGGTTCTCCGCCTGTCTTCAAGACTCGTTACGTTGCTAGAGGCTTCAGTCAGCGTCAGGGGGTTGACTTCTTCCAGACCTTCTCCCCCACCCCGAAGATGACCACTCTTCGGGTTCTACTGCACGTTGCTGCTCAGCGTGACTACGAGCTTCACTCTCTTGACTTCAGCACAGCGTTCTTGCAGGGCAGCCTGCACGAGGAGATCTGGCTGCGCCGTCCACCTGGCTTTACTGGGTCGTTTCCTCCTGGTACCCAGTGGAGCCTCCGCCGGCCAGTCTACGGTCTCCGCCAGGCGCCACGTGAGTGGCACGACACACTGAGGACTACACTTGCGGCTCTTGGGTTCGCGCCGTCTACTGCTGACCCGTCGCTGTTCCTGCGCACAGACACGTCGCTGCCGCCGTTCTACATTCTCGTGTACGTCGACGACTTGGTTTTTGCTACTGCTGACACTGAGGCACTCGCTCGTGTGAAGTCGGAGCTGCAGAAGAGACACACCTGCACTGACCTGGGTGAGCTGCGTAGCTACCTTGGCTTGCAGATCACCCGGGACAGAGCACGCCGCACCATTACCCTGACTCAGTCACACATGGTGCAGCAGGTCCTTCAGCGCTTCGGCTTCCAGTTCTCCTCACCACAGGCCACACCTCTGGCTACCAGCCACTCGCTCTCAGCTCCACCTTCGGACGAGTCCGTAGAGCCGAGTGGCCCGTACCCAGAGCTTGTAGGCTGCCTCATGTACCTGATGACTTGCACGCGACCTGACCTCGCGTACCCTCTTAGCATCCTTGCTCGTTACATTGCGCCTGGGAGACACAGGCGAGAGCACTGGGAGGCTGCTAAGAGGGTGCTGCGTTACTTGTGCAGTACGTCAGGCATGGGGCTGGTGCTTGGAGGACGCGACAGAGTTGTCCTCACTGGTCACTCGGACGCTTCTTGGGTGGACGACCTGGCTACGCAGCGGTCGTCACAGGGTTACACCTTCAGCCTTGGCTCTGGTTCTGTCTCGTGGCGGTCCACCCGCTCTTCTTCTGTTCTCGGCTCTAGTTGTGAGGCTGAGATCTACGCCACGGCCATGGCTGCACAGGAGTTACGCTGGCTCACCTACCTGCTGACAGACTTGGGAGAGCGGCCTAGTTCTCCTCCAGTTCTGTACGGTGACAACAAGGCGGCCCTTGCCTTGTGTGAGGAGCACAGACTGGAGCACAGGACGAAGCACATTGCTCTTCGCTACTTTCTTGCTCGAGAGCTTCAGCAGCGCGGTCAGCTTCGGCTTGTGTACGTGGACTCGAAGGCCAACACTGCTGATATCTTCACCAAGGCGCTCCCGCCTAGTGATCATCAGCGACACTGTACTTCTTTAGGCCTTGTGTCCACATTCCCTCATTTGCTTACTGCTTGACTTTCTTTGTACTGTACTTTATATATATCTTGTTGCTTGCTTGCTAGGTTTTGATCACTGTGCTGCTTGTCTTGTACTATATCTAGCACTGCATGTGAACTGGCCTTGAGGCCTTTGCTTGTGCTCGGAGTGTGGTGACGTTGTGATCCACCCTGGGCTTGCGTTGCCTTGCTGGACTGGTCTTGTGACCCTTTGTTCTCCCCCACTTTGCCTATGGGGGTGTGTTAAATTGTAATGTGTTATATGTTGGTAGGCTGTAGTGGGGTAGCCAATATGGGGTACAACCCAAACTAGGGTTTCCTATTTGTACCCTTGCTTCTTTCAATCCAACCATTCTTGCCTAGTTCTATTAACATCCTGGTGCAACAACAACAAGGGACATCCACATCAACAGCACGAGCAACCTTCGCGCACAGCACCTCGGACGCCATCGACATGGAGCCCACAACTCACCAACGCCGCCCCTCCCGGCATTTCGTCCATGTCATCAACCGCAACTACACTCACCACGTCCTCAACGTTCCAGCTGCACATGTCTCAGAAGACCCAATTGTAATGAAGCCAGTTGCCTTTGCAAGAACAGAAAGCAAGCTTTCTCAATATGAAATTTTTCGAAAGTGTGTAACACTTTCTAAAAATGCGTATTGTGAAAGCGCAGCTGCCTGTAACGAAGCAAAGCAACGGCGAATTACAATTCGCCGAGTACATAACGAGGGTTGGAGGCCATTCGGCCTCCACCCACGACTTCATTTCAGAACTTTGCAGTTTCACTCCCCACCCACCCACCCTAGTTGTACCAATATTTGTATGATCCATAGTTGGACGAGAATGTTGTATTACTGCAATTGTAATGAAGCCAGTTGCCTTTGCAAGAACAGAAAGCAAGCTTTCTCAATATATATATCCTTGTATCTTCTTGTTTTAATTAACTTACTTTGCCCTCACATACTAGCGCAAGGTGGTTCACAAGTGTTTCATTAACGCTTCCGCTACGACATAGTTCCTACCAGAGTTTACCCCTGCAAAGATCCTAAGGGCTTTTCTCAGCCCAACAAGATGTTACAACAGCAGTCCTAGGTTTTAAGGAGGCTTGCTAAGCAAGCCCCAGTTTGAGCCTAGCCTATCCCAAACTGTCAAAAGTTCATCAGGATCTTGTCCTTGGCCACTCCTTGCTCTGTCAGCAGTGCTGTCACGTCCTGTACACAACGAAATACCATCATATCATATTACAGTAACACCGGTTAAATGAGAAGACAGCAGCATGGTGATAAGGGCTTGTCGGAGGTCAGAGTTGGTAAAAAGGTGCCGAGACAAGACATAGACACTGGCGGTACACAGCGATCGTCAAGCAGGTCTCACGACGCGCTCTACCCAACAACTCACCTGAGTCATCCCCTTGTGGCCGCACAGCACCGCCCCTGCCTTGCTGCCATCGGCCACGGGGGTTGCAGCGCCATATGCCGACTGCAGGCAGGATAGTTGTGAGGAGCGAGGGGGAAAGGCGAAACGGACGTGGAGTGATGGGAATAGTGTGTGGTACAGCTCTGTGGAAGCCAATGTATGTATGTACGGTTCTAGATGCATGATGGTAGCTTGTAATGGCTTGTTACCGACCTCTCACACAGTTTCACTCCACCCACAGACTACAGCCCAGGACAGGTGCCACCACCACTGCTGTTTCAACAGCAACCTCCCCTCGGCAAGCAGCCCTTGGTGTATTGCATCCGTTAAGTATTGCAACCCCAATCTCCATAAAACCATATCTCCATAAAACCCTACTCCCACTCCCTCATCCCTCCCTCCCTGTCATTGACCTCCTCTTCTTTCATCCTCTCTACCCCCTCTGTTCTTCTCTCCAACCCTCCCACCCTGCTCCCCCAACCCCCTTTCTCACCCCTCTTCCTCACACACCACCCCACCGCACCCCATCGCGGCACGCACCTGCACGAAGCCAGTGGCGCCAGTCCAGCCATCCTCGGGGTTAGAGAAGACGGGAATCACCTGCACACCCGACGCCTCCCATGCTGCAAACCGCTCCTGCTCGCACATGGCACGGCACACAGCGACAAATACACGCGAGCGGCAAGGGAGGGAGGGGGCGAGGGTGGGGAGGGGGGGGGGATGGAGGGAGGAAAGGGAGTGCGTAGGGAGAGGAAAGAGGGGAGAGTTCAGAACAACAGATGAGAGTCAGGTTGTTGTGGGGAGGGTGTTGCAAGCTGGCGGTGGGTGAGAAACGCGAGGGGGGGCGGGAGGGGGCAGGAGCAAACCAACGTAGCAAGGTACCACTGTTCTCAGTTCCCTTTCCCAATCCCTACCTCAAGTCCAGTCTCCCCGCTCTCTCCCTCTCGCCTCTCCATCCCTCCCCCCGCTCTCTCCCTCTCGCCTCTCCATCCCTCCCCCCGCTCTCTCCCTCTCGCCTCTCCATCCCTCCCCCCACTCTCTCCCTCTCGCCTCTCCATCCCTCCCCCCACTCTCTCCCTCTCGTCCCCCCACCGCGCGCAGAGCACCTGGTAGGGCAGGAAGGCGCTGTTGCGCACGCCGAAGTAGAGGCGCACGTCGCGGCGGTCCTTGGCGTCGAACCCGTGCTCGATCAGCGCGCGAATGGGACTGCCACGCGCCGGGGGGAACGGCGGGGTGAAAGGGGACGGGGGGAGGGAGGGCAGAAGGGAGAAGGGGGGACACGTTGGCATACGTGGGGATACGTTGGACTGAATAAGAACCAAACAAGAGGGAGAAGAGTCGGTCAAATGGAATTGCTGTCAGATTGTCAACTACTTCCCTCTTGTTCCCGCCTACGAGCCCCAGCACCTCCATGCCTTGTAAACTTGCCCTCCCCTCCCCATCCCCGCTCCCTCCACCACAGACCGAAATCAACCCCACCAAGCCCCCCCCCAGATGCCCCATGGCGCAATGCCCCGCGATGCCCCGCGATGCCCCGCGATGCCCTGCGATGCCCCGCGATGCCCCACGCAACCCCTCACCTGATGCCCGATCCCGTGGCGAAGAGCAGAACCGACGGGTAGTCCCCCGCGGGCGACACGGCGTCCGCGTTGAACCCCTTCCCCATCACCGCGCTCACCGCGACGCGCGCGCCCGCCTTCGCCTCCGCGATCTGCGCGGCCGTGGAGCCCTCGACGGCCTTGATGAGGAACTCGAGCCGCCCCTCGTCGCGCGCGACGCTGGGCGGCGACGCGATGGCGAGGAACGCGGGCTTGGCGTCGCCCACCTTCACCTGCACGAACTGTCCCGGCTTCGTGTAACCGTCCTGGCGACGCGAGGAGGGCGGAGCGAGGAAAGGGGAATGGGGGAGAGGGAAACAAGGGGGGAAGCGAGGAGGGAGAAGAGGATCGGGGGAAAGGGGGGCCAGGGGGGGGGGAGGATGCGCGGGGGAGTTTGAGCGCAGCGGTGAACGGATCAGCCCGCGCGATGGCGACGAGTGCGGCGCGATCAGATGACTCACTCTCGGAACCGGGAGCAGGAAGGATGGGAGCGACGAGAGGGACAAGAAAGTCCGGGAGCAAGGGGGTTCCAAGGAGTCTCGAGGAGTGTCGAGGGGTCTCGAGGGGTCGATAACGACAATTATGGAAGCAGTGAGAGCAAGTTGCTTACCTCAAATTCTACAGGAGAGTTGAGTTCAAGTCACCAGACCCCCAAAAAGGGCATTCTTGACCGCGCGAGAAGCTGACCACCGCAGCACCACCCATACCTCCACATCGCCAGCTCGAACCCTCGACAGGAAACCTTCCAACGAGCCTGTCCCCCAAAAGAAAGCAGCGCAGAGAGTCACACACTTACCAGCTCACTCATTCACTCACTCACGCGCAGTCGCACTCACTCTGATCTCCGAAAGGTCACTGATATCGAGGGAGACGGCGTACAGCAGCTCCGCCACCTTCTCCGATTGGATCACGGGCGCGTCCGCGAACACCACCTCCTGGGAACGAATGCGCGGGGGGGGGGGGGGCGACGGGACCGGGACGAACAGGGGAAGCGGGCGGTCCGCGAATCAGCGATAGATGCGGGGGAACGGGGAACCAAGGAAAAAGGACCAAGAACCAGGAGCTTTGGATTTCAATGCACAAACGGGACGAGGCTCTATTTTCAGATCTGCAACAATTTCTCAAAAGTTGCAGTGCGTAACAAATTCATGAGCCTCGAACGAGAAAGATCTCTTTAGGTTTGTTCGTAACCAGAGCAACAATAAGGGAACGAGGGCTCTCCTCCTGTACCAATCTCTCAGCTCTTTTCGTCTAAAGGCGCAATTGTTTCTGCAGTCCTGTTGTTGATGCCACACAAGAGTATTCGCAATAAACATCCTAAATTTTCAGGACGCACCTGGTTCCAGTTTGCTTGCACAATCGCAGGTCTCCCGCTATTCGCGCCGTGCAGAGCGGGCGCGAACCGCCCCCGCCGCTGCTGCTGCTGCGACGGCGATCGCACGGCGGAGCGTCTCCGCAGCCCGGTGAACGATGCGGAAAGCGCCGCGCGCTGGCTCTGCGCGCGCGCCCCCACGGAAGCGGCATGGGACGGCGTGGAGAGGGGCGCGTGAAGAGACAAGCTCCGGAGCGCCGCCATTGCAGCAGTGCGGTAGCGTGCAATTTGGAAATGCGGGGCTGCGCGCGAGGTGGATGTGCCTCGCGAAAGCAGCTGGTACAGGGGAAACAAGACTCAGAGCAGACGGCGAGAGTCGGCTGGAGCCCCAGTTAGTTTTGCGGCTGTGGGATGGAGTAAAACCGACTACATGTGGAATGTATGCGGAGACGGGGAAGATATGCAGGGTCGAGATACGGGCTAGTAAAGTTTCTGGAAGACGAGAAGGGGGAATTGAAGAGAATCCGTCCGTGTTTTTCGACGCCACAGAAGCGAAGGGAAACTCCGCCAACCGATGAAAAAACTCCTGAAACCGATGAATTTGCTGGTGACTCCTGTGACGTGGAAGGGGAGTCGTTCGGGCTCGGCTGATTAGGTCCCACATGGGCCACGTGGCAAGTGCGCGAAAGCGAAGTTGCAGTGTTACGACTGATTGCACGAGTTTCCGCGACATCGTCGGGATGTGAATGTTAGTGCGGATCTTCGCCGATCGGGGAACCTCTGGTTCACCAATGGCTGATGTGGCATCGTTTAGAAGCTTTCGAGGTCAGTGCGTGAACCTTTAGGATGATCAGAAGCTTCTAATGATCAGTGTGCCCCAAAACCAATCTGACTGGGGCCCTACTCGCAAGCACAACACTGCACCCAATAACAAAGCTGGGAAAATGTACTAGCAAAAAATACCAGAGAATCTTATTACAATAACAGAACTCACTACCCAACGCAACAAATAAACACAAGTCGGCTAATGGGTTTCCCAAAGAGCAAACCAGTGTGGGCACAGTTCACCAAGCTACTTAATCAAGAAAAGCTAATTACCGCACATATGCACACTGCATGGCGCACACAATAGAGCCCAAATGCGGAAAGTGCACATTGCAAGCAAGCAACTCTCATGCACACAACACTCGACACCCCGCCCACAAACACACATTTTGGCAACTAGCCACGCAGTAGCCACAGGACGGCAGTAGGAGCAAAGGACAGCAGTCGCAGTAGCAGTAGTAACAGCGACAGGAGAAATCAGTCAGAGCAACCAAGCTGCCACTCCAGCTTGCACCTATACGGGCAGCGGGCATGCACAGGCGAGGCACCCACAGGTACGGAGGGCGAGACCGCGAGGATCAAGAACAGGCCATGTGTGCTGCTGGGCCTATTCTGCACCGCTTTTCCACCCTCCTGCTCATGCTGCAGCTGCTGCTTCTGCTTCTGCTGCTGCTGTAGCGGGCTGTTCTCTTTTTGTTCTGAGGCGAAAAACACACCGTGAGAGCTGCTGCCACTGCTAATCCCACTGCCACTGCCGCTGTCACTGCCGCCACAACTGCGACCAACACTATCACTACCACTACTGCTACTACCAGCACCACAACTACCCGCAATACTGCTGCCGCTGCTAACCCCACTACCCCCGGTCCCCCGGCCGCTGCGGTTTCGGCCGCAGAGCAGCCGGTGCGGCGGGTGCAGCAGTCATAGGATGTCAATGCGCTTCTTGATCTTGAACATGAGTGCGGCGCCCTTGAGCCCCTCGTTGGTGGGCACCTGCAGCATGAGCTGCATCTTGGTCTTCATTGGCGTCCCGGAACACCCATCCGACTCGTTGCCCAGCTGGGGGGAGGGGGTCGGATCGGGGAAGATGGAGGGAGGAAGGAAGAAAATGAGGAGAGAGAAGGAGAGAAGGAGAGGAGGAGGAGGGGGGGGAGGAGGAGGAGGAGGAGGAGGAGGAGGAGGAGGAGGAGGAGGAGGAGGAGGAGGAGGAGGAGGAGGAGGAGGAGGAGGAGGAGGAGGAGGAGGAGGAGGAGGAGGAGGATAGGGGGAAGGGCGTGGGGGGGGGTAGACAGACAGGGGACAGGGATGGAAACACGTTCGTAAGGACAGGGAATGCTTGAAGGGGCAAATAGGATTCCAGGGATCCAAAAGAAGAGCAGAATCTGGAGGTAAGATAACCAGGAGAGAGAGAGGGCCCAACCCAACCAGACAGCAAAAGATAGGAGAGGCAGGGAGCAGAGCATAGCAAGACGGAGCGTGGGAAGAGCGAATGGCGTACCCAGAGCGAGCCCCAGGCGAGGCCTGCAGCCCTGTCATAGCCCAGCTTGCCCTTCACGTGGTCGCGCGGCTTGTACTTGTACACTGCGCTGTAGTTCAGCTCCTGCACCTCGTACGACATGCTGTGAGGGGGGGGGGGGGGGGGGGGAAGGGGAGAGAGAGGAGATGCAGCGGAGAGTAGGAGTAGGTGAAGGTTAGAGGGTTGTAAGGAACATAATGCTGACAGGGCTTGTACTTGTATATTGCACTGTCGTTCAGCTCCTGCACCTCGTATGACATGCTGCGAGGGGGGGAGAAAGGGGAACGGGTGGGGGGGTGGGGGGGTCGAGGAAAAGGGGGAAGGGAGAGAGAGTGGGGAGAGCAGGAGGCACAGGCTGTAAGGAGCCTCATGGTGACAGGGCTTGTGCTTGTACACTGCGCTGTAGTTCAGCGAGGAACGGAGAACGAGGGAGAGAACAAGGGGAGGGGTAGGTGCCATTGAAAAGTGTGTCATGAGCATATGTTGTGAGAGGGATTGTGATGTACTCTCCTGCTCTGCACTGTATGCCCCTGGGATGACCAGCTGGGGAGACGAGAGGGGAGGGGGCACAGGAGGTGTGTCAGAGAGATGCCAGGGACGCATGTGTTTGTGTGTGTAGGGAAGGCGAGAAAAGAAACCATCAACAAACGAGCCAGTAAGCGAGTCAGGAGTAAGGGAGTGAGGAGGCAGGTGCGAGCGCAGAGAGCAGAGAGCGCACCTGACTTTGTGCTTGTCGTTGAAGCGGCGCTTGAAGGTGAGGTGCATGTGGTTGGACGGCCACGACAGCGACGGCGCCACTGTTATGATGTCGTTCTGCCCCGCACCCATGGGGGAAGCGAGTAGGACATGCGACGGTGCCCACGCAGCAGACACCGGGCGGGGATGGGGGCGGGAGGAAGGGAAGGTGAGGCGGGGGGGAGGGGAGGGGGGAGGAGAGCGAGGAGGTGGGGGTGTAGGTGCGATTCACAGTGGCACTGTGTGACTATGTCAAGTTGGGAAGCAGCAGGCATGGAAGGCCCAGCATACACTGATGCACTTGCCAAGAGGATTGCACGTGCACTCCCAAATGGACAAACACCACCCAAAGAGTGGAGTGGAACCGATCAGCAGCATCCTGAGCCACAAGCGCTGAGCCAGGAGATGAGTAACGAGTGATCCACGAATGCAGTTCTACTCATACAGCCCCTTGTGCAATCCATGAGCCACGAAATGAGCCACGGGACGAGCCATGGGAGAAGCTTACAAGTGCCGGAGCACCTTACAATAGCCGCCCCACCTCTGAGTCAACCGCTGAGAGGACAGGACACACAAGCGGGGCAGCGCGCACCTTGAAGTGGTAGCGCAGGTTGATGGCGCTGTCGGCCTGGGAGAAGCTGGCCATGGCGAGCCCCTTGAGCACGTTGGCGGAGAGCGAGCCCGACAGCCCCTTGCTGTCCTCGTACTCGCATGACTCGTCCACGAACCGCAGGTCGCCCCGCGGGAACAGCAGCGTCGCCTTCGCCTGGTGGTGGCGGAGGAGGGGAGGGGGAACGGGGAGGGGAGATGGAGGGGCGGAAGATGGGAGCACGGCAGATGGGAGAATGAACGCACGTGGATCAGAGACGAGGGGAGAAAGAGAGAACACGGATGCGGAGACAAGAGAGAGGAAGAGCGGGCCTGTGCGAAGATGGAAGAAGGCGAGGAGGGAAGACAAAGTGACGGAGAAGTGGAGAGGCGGGGCGATGAGGAGGAGAGGGCGACGGCGAGGGCGAGAAGGAAGAGGGGGGGGGGGGGAGGGGAGAGGGGGAGGAGGGGAAGGGGAATGGGGAGGGCGCGCGCTCAGAGCGGGCTGGGGATGTAGTTGCCAACAGCAGAGCCAGGAATGCGTCTTCTGAGTCAACTCAAAAGTGACGTGGGGGCGAGGAGAGGGCGTGATGTGAACTCACGAGCGTGGAGGGGATGTAGCTGCCGACGGTAGAGTCGAGAATGAACTCGGCGCTCTTGCTGCTGTCCTCGCTGCGAATCACTGTTGACACCGAGCTGCGCTTCGCCTGCCATGGCGCATGCGCCGCGCAGGGGGGACGGTGGGGGAGGGGGAGAGGGAGGGAGGGAGGGAGGGAGGGCGCGCGAGGGAAGAGGGCAAAGGGAGAGGTAATGAGGGGTGCAGGTTGCAACAGCAGTGACGTTGAAGGAGCTGGGAGCGGCACGTGATTGGGAAGGGTGGAGAGGGGAGGGGTAAAATCGAATTGATTACTCTTACACTATCCTTGCCTGCTCACAGTGTGACGCGAATAACTCGCATTCATTGCACTTGACTGGCCCCACTTTCTACGCCCTTCAACCGTCCCAGCCTTCCAGCTTCCCGCCCACACACCTCCCCGGCCACGCTTAAGCTCACCCTTCCCACATCTCGCCACGCGCGCACCCTCCCCTCCCCTTTACCCCCCTTCCGCCCCTTCCCCGCCACCCTACCTCTCCCATCTTCCCGCCAGTCCCTTCCCCCATCCCCCCGGCTCTCTCCCCTCCCCCGGCCCCACCTTCCCTCCCCGTGTCGCCCCTGGCGCGCGCGGACCTGCATGTCGCGGCGGTACGCGACGCTGTGGTTGCCGACGTCGGCGTTGAGCCCGACGAGCGCGTTCTTGCCGTCCACGTCGTAGTCCACCGTCACGTGCTTCGTCGCCACGCTCACCAGCGGGTAGCACCACTCGCCGCGCAGCGTCGTCTGCGCCGCACAGGGAGGGGAGCGGCCGGGGAGGGGGGATGGGGGAAGAGGTGGGGGAAGGCGGGGGGGCGGAGGAAGGAAGAGATCCGGGGGGAAAGGCCGATGATCGGGCCATTGGGAGGAAGGGGGAGTGGTGTGATGGAGCAGACGGGAGGGGAGGAGAGAAGAGGTTGTGTTTCAGAGCGGCGGCGGCAAGGAGATGTGTTTTGAGTCGACTCAAAACACACAAGGAGGTGGCGCGGATCGAGTGTGGGTCCCGAGCGGGCAGAACCACACCGGCGCCTAGCGCCGACTGTGGGGAGAGGAGAGAGCCGCGTGCCAATAACCATCACACCACACAATAAATGTAGGTGTGGGAAAGTGTTTCAGGGGAATGCACATTAATCTAATAAAAGTTAAAAAAAAAAAAAAAAAGAAGACTAAAAACTGGCCAAGTCTGGACACGCTTGTGCCGCTTGATGCGACCTTTTAACGAGGATAAATGCAGCAATGTCCATGCCAGAACACCTCCAGAAGGCCTCAACTGCTCGCGAATATTGGACGGGCATTGGGGTGCGGATTGAAGAAACTCTAGCGTGGCACGGAGCGGCATGTGCATGGCAGCGCGGACTGCACCCAATGTGCCATGCCGTGCGGTCTGTTCTAGCGCAATGTGCCAAGCCGGGACACACGGTCACGTGGCATTTTAGAAGAATTAAAATTACAGACTCTCGTTCTCTTATTTCGGTGGTTTCTTATTGCTCAGCGGTCTGCGTGCCGTACCCAAGACGGCAGGCACCGACTCCGGAAAGCAATGGTTTTGCACGAAAGCGGCCGAGAACCAGCAATAGCGATGGCTAGGTGGGTCAGTGGAAACCAACCTGACACGACGCCTTGATTTTCGCGAGGCCGTCGAAGAGGCGGACGGACGCCTTGTTCATGAAGACCTTCTCCTCGCTGTCGAACTCGGACGAGATCTTCATCCTGATCTGATCGCCTTTGCTTTACGTTTGATCGTTCCGCTCCACGAATCAGAATTTTAACTGCGTTGCTTAAACAACGCTCTGAGGCGACGGCAGCCTCGGGAGTAGCCGGTCACACGCACTCGGCTGAAAGAGGGAGTACGAGCCGCGGGGGAACTCGACGTCGCGACGCGAGCAAGAGATCGCCGGAGATAGGCTGTAGGTACCGTTTCGCTTGCTCAACGGTGGCCTGTGCGGGCAGAGCAATCGAGGAAGGAGAGGAGAGGAGGTGCCTTTGTGTGACGGCAAAAGCACTGACTTGATCCGATATAATGGCCTACCAGTGCACTGATGTCAATAAGGATCGTGCACTGCCGTGGGTGGAATGGAATGGAAGTGGAGGCGACTTCACAACGGACCAATTTTCCGCTGTCGAAGGCACAAACAACAGGTACATCCGCACCGTGTTTCTGCGCATGGCACTTCCAAGACAGATCCAGCCGTTGAAGGAGGAGCATTGTCGAGCCAGCCGTTGTTATAACGAAGCTGGATCGCGCTCAAATGAAAGCGTTCAAACGAAAGGGTGTTCAAGACGTGGCTGGCACACCAGCATACGATTTGCGCGACCTCGTTCAAGAAAAAAACTCGGATAACAAGTCAAGAACGCAAGTGTGTTTTGATCACTACGAATGGTCATATATACACCTAGACTCAAGCTCTACAATTAGGGTTCCACCCACGAGTACCTCAAGGATGGAAGAATGAAGGGTCATAAGTTTTCTACTGTAAAGAATTCTTTGGCATTCGTTACTGCGCCGTTCAACATCGCGTACAGAATCAGGCGTTGTTTGCCCGTTACCGCTAACGGGGATTAGCTAACTTCGGGACCAGCCCGAACCTCGAGGCAGGCCTAGCACTAGCTAGCTCGCACGCACCGAGTTACCTTGCATGTTTCGCACATAAGTATTCGCTCATGCCTTCGCTCATACTTGGTACTCGTTTGACACCTAGTGAAATCATCGTTATCTCGTTCCATTGCACCAGTAACACGTGGTATGCATAGCCACCTTCCTTTTTAAACCGCGCATCTTCGCACCCAGAGAAATCAACATTTGATTTTTGCACTCGTAGGGACTCACGCCCCTTAGCGCCTAGGAGACGCTGTCCTCACGTTCTTTTGTAAACGCGTGCAGCCACGACTGCGCCTTGAGCTAAACCGAGCAACCGTCCTTCGAAATGGTCAAGCATATCGACGTCACCACGCACAAAGGAGCGTCTCAACCAACTGCTGCAGCAGCTGCACGAAAGCACCCAAGAAATCGCGGCGCTGGTGCGTCACTGTAAAATGACGTTGCACTGGCACAACAAGCATAATCACAAGCACGAGGCACACAAGGACAAGCAACGACAAGCTTTGCAACATGAAAGCCTAGGGCAACCCTCGAGCGCGGCTAGTGATGGCATCGCCTACAACGACGGAGACGACGACCATGGCGCGACACACCTCATAGCGACGAATGCGGCCTGGAGCCAACCTCGCGTCACAATTTCGGTGCCGACCGGCAAGTCAGCACTGCCGTCACCGATCGCGCTCAAGCCGCAGCGTTTGCCTTGCTTTGATCCCAACCAACGGGATGGTCCGATCGTTCAGGCGTGCTTGTTCACTATGAACGTTTTCTTCTATGGCAACTACATCTCGAAGGACTCTTCGAAGATTCGATACGCCTTGTCGCTGCTATAACGACCTGCCATGGACTGGAGGTGCGTCATCGTCATGAAGCCGGTGGACTATGAGACTGTACCGACACGACAAGGACAAACCGGACCCTGGGCGCCGTCGTATTTGCGGAGATAGCTAACACAATGGGAGTTAGACTACGGGGAAGGCACTGATGTAGGAGTGATCGCATCGTTCCTTAGTCGTTTGTCGTTTGTCGTATTAGCAAGCGTTTCACTGGTAAAATTGGGATTACAGAATGATAGCAACAAAGTTGGCAACAATGACCACATTAGATGAAAGTCCGCCTAGCATGCAAGCAGGTCAACCTCCAGCACAGCATGGTCGACTGCCTTCCAGCGCAGCAAAGTCCGTGCCGCTCCAGCGCTGCAGAAAGGCGGCTTGCCAACTTTGCAAGTTGACGACGTGCCAACACGGTAGCAAGTCGACTACACGGCGTTGCACCCGCAAGATAGCAGCGCACCCGCTTCGCAGGTGCTCGCAGTTGGTTGGCGTGCTATGCCCCGTCACGTACACAACGCAGACGCCAGGCCGACCACGTGCCATGACTGCACATGATCAACGACGCCGACATTGGGATACTACACCGAGGTCAGCTTCGCTAGAACACCAAGGTGACTGTCGCGCACCTCCGCAGATCCCTGTCGCCCGGATAACTTGGTCGAGCGGGCAACCACCAAGTCGGGGTCGACTTGTGTGGCTGGCATCGACCAGCTACTGTATGTGCCCGTCGACCACCCAAGTCAACGATCACTAGCCGACTTTACAAAGTCAGCGTCCACAGCTTGCTGCCACAATGTCGGCACCCCCAGGTTGACCTCACTAAGCCGACAACCCGAACATGGCGTCCTCCAGCTTGGGGTCCTCCTGCTAGGCGCCCTCTTGCTTCCTTCCCACGTCAACGTCGGCGCCTACAAAATTCGGCGCCCCTCCCCTCGGCGACCACCAGGTCAAGTCTGCTGTCGGCTCCCCGTCGTTGGCGGCGTGGTAGTGGCCTCGTGAAGGTCGACCAAACTCGTCGAACTTCGTGCCGAGATTGGCGTCGCCCACTTCAGCTGATCGGCTTCCGTCAAAGTACCTTAGTATCACACGTGGGACCCTTGGTCAGCAGGTCTGCGAGCGAGATTCGAGCCAATTGCGGCTTCGATCGCTCCGCGACAGAGGCTCCGAACTTGGCGCTAGCTCCGTTCCGTCCAGGACTACACTAGTGGGTTTCTCACGCTGCGAGCAGGTGGGCTATATGCACGAGGGCGAGCGCATTGACCGCTACATCGACGGCCTGAAACACAAAATTGCCTTAGAAGTCCAGCTCCGAAGCGTCACCGACTACAACGACATTCTCGCTATGGTGGAGAAGCTAGACTTCTTACGCCGACCAAAACCGAGGTCCTACGGCAACAGCAGCAGCTAGGGATATCAGCCTTGTGGGACAAACGAGCACGCCACGATGCGCGCTGTCGCTACGAATGCTACTGCTGCACCATTCAAAGGCGCTGCTTTGAGTGCAACAAGCAGAGGCACCGTAAGAGCGAACGCCCGAAAAACGCTAAGGGAAAGGGGGAAGTCAAGCAGCAGAAATAGACCAAGCATCAGGTAAACATTAGGAGTCAGTAGCAGACGGGCCCTCTACTGACAGGTCACGCCGCTCGCCCGACCCAACCGACCCTCACCGAGTGATTGTGCCGGTACACGCAATCGACCACACACGGCCAAATAAAGAGGGTATAGACAGCCCTATACTCCTTAGTGGGAAAATAGGGACAGACTTCGTTAAAATCTTCGTGGATGGGGGAGCCCACGACAGCCTGATCAACACCGCCACAACACGGAGACTGAAACTACCATTAGAAAAATGTTTACTTGAGACTGGTCGACGGCATGCCTCTAGCGATACGGGAACGTGTGGACCGAGTTCGGAACTGATGCGGGGGTGGCTTCACTTTTACCCAGGAAATGCTCGCAACAATCCTCAACGGAACCGACATTTTACTCGGCCGTGATTGGTTGCGACGACACAATCCGCGAATCGACTGGACGACGGATGATTGCACTGTGCGAGTGAACAGTAACAACATCGCCCTACCTTGCTGGGGCTCACCTAAGCCTTCGTCGGTGCGTGTCAATGCAATCACGAAGAAACACGCCTTAGCGGTAGGAGCTGACGTGTACGTGACTGACATCTGGAAAGCCGAGGCAGAAGGGGAACGATTTACAGAAACTGCTCGCCGCCGTACCAGGTGACTTCGTAACACTATTGAACCATTACAGTGACATTTTTTCGGACGACCTGCCAACGGGACTGCCACCTCAGTGAGCTCACGACCATAGGATAGAACTGGAACCAGGGGCACAACCAATAGAACAGTAACAGTTCCAACTGACCCAACCCGAATTGGACAAACTGCGGAAATAGCTGGATTACCTACTCGAAAAACAGTTCATTCGTCCGATCTCGTCGCGTTTTGCCGCACTGATACTGTTCACACTGAAGAAAGATGGAAAAAGACGCATATGCATATATTACCGCACATCGAACCGAGCTACAATCAAATCCCGTTTTTTCAATCCGCGAGCCGACAAAGTGATCAACCAACTTTGCACAGCCCGCGTCTTCTTGAAAATTGACCTCCGAGGCAGTTACCACCAGATTCATATCCATCCACCTAACTTCCCGAAAGCCGGCTTCCGTACCCACTACGGATCATTTTAATACACCGTTATGCCCTTTGGACTGACCAACACCACACTACTTCCAAATGAAAATGAATGAAGCCGCTTTTAGATAAGTGCGTCATCGTCTACTTAGACGACATACTGATTTACAGCCCAGACAGAGCATTGCACCTGAGGGACATCGAAGCTTAAAAAAAAAAATACTGAGTGAGAACCGCCTACTGACAAAATCTTTTAGGTGTAAGTTTCGACACGCCATGCTGGAGTTTTTAGAGCATGATATTTTAGCCGACGGGGTGGAAATAGACCTAAAAAAAATTGCGACGATTCGAGCATGGCACGCGCCGACAAATATGACTGAAATGTAGTGGTTTTGGGGTTCGTCAACTACGTGCGCCGATTCGTCCCTGCCATGGTGAAGTTGACCACCCCACTGACAGATCTGCTACGGAAGGCGAGTACACGTGGGGGGGGGGGGGGGGGGGGGAGGGGGGAGCAAGCTGCCTTCTCGGCCCTCAAACAATTTTTGTGCTTGCCGCCCGTACTGCACATCGCCAGCCCACACCGCCTGTTTGAATTGGTCACCAACGCAAGCTACATCGCCGTGGGA